TTAAAATGTTAAATTAACTGGCCGACAGAGCATTGATTTAGGTTTTTTTTTTTTTTTTAAAATTCCAAACTTGTAGAAATGTTAAGAAACAAAACAAAGTTTGTAGCAAACACACAGAGACAACAGAAATGACTAAAATAAGCATCACCTTTTCCTCCCTGTGATTCAATCCTGCAGAACTGTGGGAATAACGTGGAGACACCTTCATGGTAATTGAGCTTTCAGAGGCCTTTAGAGCTGGTGACAGATTAATAGGTTGGTATCATAAATTCTGACATCCTTGCAATTTTGGTATTCCTGGATTTATACACAAACTGAACACTGTAAACACTTCAGTGCCCCAGCTGCAGCATCACACATCTGTTAGGACCATTGGTAACTTTATGAAATAACACCGTGTCACAAAGAAAGTTCAGCAATTAAACTGAGTCCAGGCACCACAAGGATCCCAACAGATAATTCTCCAAAGTAATSGCCTCGAGGAAACTCCAGCAACACTAAAAATCAGGTCTGTGCAAGACAGCAGTGGAAAAGCAGYACTTTCATTGCCAGCAGTATAAACACAAAAGATTTTAAAGGAGTTTGTTTCCTGATTATTAAGTTCCATGCTGTGCAAAGCAATTATTACATCTCTCAGTTTCCCGATCTTTGTGTTTATTAAAACTAATGAACACTTTTAGCATGCAAGACACTAAATAAATTTGCATAGGATTATAACAGTCAGCCTATACTCATCCCTGTAGGCTTAAATACTAACTGTAAAGGAAGAAACATTTACCCAGTAAATTATCAAGCTGAAAGCTGAACTCCTCCCCACATGGGCTGGRAAGTCCTTTAACTCAGTCACTGCCTAGAGCTGAATTGGAGTGATCAGAGAGAGAGGGATTGGTTATCCAGGGCAATGCCAAGGTCAYCATGGACAATCCAACACATCCCACAWGATCMATTTACYCCACTGATCTCAAAGACAGACACCTCCTGTTCAATTCTTCACCTCATTACCTGGAGRACAACTCACTGCAGGCAAATGAAACAAGAAAACCTCAAAGCTCTGAAGAATCAGGAAGGAAATCCTGAACCCAGGTAGCCTGAAAACAACACTCTAAAGAAAACCGTGCAGCTGAGAGCACAGAGCTGATTCTGTAGGCTCTGAGCACAGGCCTCCTATGCTTAAAGCCAGATAATTCTATAAAACAATGTTTTATTTATCTAAAATTAGGATTAAATACTGGCTACAGCTCTGAGAGTGGGATGTTGCTATCTGTTTTTAAACACCCAGCTTTAGGAGCTGGAAAAAAACAACAGAATTGCCTGTTTGGAGGGTCTGAATAATTAAAGAGCAGTGCAAAAGCTAAAAAGGTGCTGCTTTTTACTAAGTAACTACAAGTTTGCTTTTTCTAGTATCCTATGAGCTTTATGAACTCTTCAAAATGGGATAGTTGCTCATTTAAAGTAATTTTACAGACTCTGTTCCAAGCTATTACAAAATGTGTTCAGAGTTTGCAGCACAGCYTCTCACTCTGCTCTCCCACTCATTCACCAGCCCTGAAAGGAAAACAGGGGAAGAGGCCTTTTATTTCCTCTTATCASCCTGAAAAGGGGTGTTTTTCAACTGAACACATAGATACTTTTAATATTTTCTAGTAGATATTTTTAAAAAATCTTTAGTTTGAGAATTTAGAAGAAAGAAATGTATGTGTAAACCCCGTTATTACAAGAATAAGCCATCTTGAGGATAGGTGGGGAGTGATATTTCCTGATAAATCTGYCTTGGATGAACACTGTGCAGGCACAAACACAGATTTATTGGAAATCATTGGATCCATCTGGTTTCCTTTGAAGTGAACTGAAGCTCTGCTATTGTCTTGAATAATGGCACAGTCAGTTCCTCAGCTCAGACTCTTGTCCTACATACATTTATGTGGCACTCTGCATGTAAGAGCGAATACAGAAAGGAAAGAAAACAAACCCCAAGCCACMGGACTGCCTTCATTTCCATCATAAATCAGTTTGTCTTTGCTACAGTGGAATTATTGAGCAGAGAATCCAGGTCATGTATTTTATTTTTACCTAGTGTTTGAACAGATTAAAGGGAAAAAAAAAAAAGAGGATCAGATTGGCTTTCCATTTTTTATTAGCTTCTCTTTCTGCTTGGAGACAAAATTTACAGTTACTAAAGCAGAATTAGGCTCTTTCAATATMCAATTTTCTAACAACAATATTCTGTTTTCAATAACAAATGTTTTCAAGAATAAATGTCCTTAGTGGCGAGGCAGATCCAGGGAAGAGAGTGTGGAATTTGGGATGAGGGACACCTGCAGCCCTGTGCAGGGATGGCTGTGGCTGAGCTGGACACCCCTCAGAAGGAACTCAAACCCCCAGGCTGAGCTGAAATGGGGCTCCTGGAGCCCTGGAAAGGTCCCAACTGAGGCTGGTCAGGGCCACTGAAGTTCCTCAGTGCCCACAGGTCCTGACAGACAGAGATGCRTTTTCATTTTCCAAGCAGCAGCTGAAGCAGATAATAATTTTTCCCTGGGGAAAAAAAAAAAGAAGCAGTAGAAGGTTTCAAAAGRAATGTCTCACTTGATAAAGCCTTACAAGCTACATCACAGAGGTGTCTGTGGATGAACAGCGCTGGTTTTTATGGCTGTGGGTGATGCAGGAGAGCTCTGTTATTGCAGGAATYCTACCCAAGGCCAATGTGAGAGAGACAGCTGTCAAAATGGAAAGAACAGAAGCGTTTCTAGATAGGATTGTTAAAAGGAATTGATATTGAGCTGTGCTGACCATTTTCTGGGAGGCTGGAAGCCTTCATCTTCCATCAGCACTCTCCCTGTGCTAACCTCTCAGGCTTCTTGAAATTTCCAGGAGTGTTGGAATCAGAAACTGAGCTGGTTCATAAGGCTTTCAGTGAATAAAATGCCTAAGTTCATGTGCTTTTAGCATAGTTTTTATGTCAATCAAATCTGCATCAAATTGTAAAGAACTTTATTATAGAATCATACATCAAACACAGAGGATTTAAGATCATTATTTAACATATAGAAGGAAAAGTTCATTTTGTAGCAATCCTTTATTAAAAAAATAAAATCTGTCCACCTTTTGCTATGAAGCATGTCTGAAAGTTGTTTTATTTCAGTTGTTTTTTTTTTCCATTTAATTTTTGAAATGGAAAAAAATTGTACTTGTCTAATGGATCCGTATTTAATACTGCAGAATTGCTATTAAAAGTGTATATAAAAATATCATCATGATTTTTGGTGGAAGCTCTTTCCTGCTCTTCTGTCTCTGAAGGCATTATCCTGGGAATCTGACACAGAAGATCTCTGTGGCAGCCCCTTTCCTGGAGGGGTGAAGCAGAAGGACTGACCAGCCAACTCTGAAGGCTTTTTACTTAGCTGAAAATGAAGTTATAAAGGTGGCAAGGGATTTTCTGAAATTTGATTCATTGCCAGTGTGATTCAAGTGGTTTTTCAAGTCTTTTTCATATATTTTAATGCTTCTGACTCATGTTTTCCCTCTCTTAAGGTTATATTAGCTCATCTTATGACCCTCAGTTCCCCAGGACTTTACTGCTCACATGTTTTTTTTCCTTTTCTCTCCTTCCTTGGTAATCTCTAATATATTGTTCTAAAATTTGTAATTAGGCAGAGCTCTCTTTTTGTCTCTTCACTGACAAAGAGGGCTTGATTCTCTCCTCAGCTCTTATTTCAAATGCTGAGAATCACAATTCCCTGTGCTTTTAAGGACAATTGGTGCTCAGTTCTAATCTCACTGACATCAACCTGACCTCTGTGCTTTGCTGGTTTAATGTCCAAAGGAGGCAAATACACCTTTGTAAAGCTGAGCTGGGAGCAGGATGGAGATGTTTAACTTCATTCACGAATTGTCCTGACACACTTGAGAGGACTTTGGGCTCATAATGAATTTTTTTGCTGCAGGGCCCAAAGGATATGCTACACTCAGGTCTGTGACCTCAAAATTGCACAACCAGATCCGTGTGGTTTTCTGCTGTTATTTCAGAGCAAAAATCGTATCAGGGCACTCTGGGGCTGTGATCCCTATCCCTCAGTGCCAGCCAGGTTTCCAGCAGCCAGAATCCTCTCCAGGACATGGGGATGCTGTCCAGGAATTCAGATTAATTCCCTGGTGTCCAACAAGCCATCATGACACTCAAGACAGATGTGGATTATTTGTTTTGGGTGCACAATCCCACCACACCCCAAATTGAGCACGGCCCACCAGGAAATATAGGAGCCACAGGGGAGAATGTAAGGTCATAAACTGAGACAAGGGAGATTCAGATTAGATATTTGAAAAGAATTATTTCATTGGTGGGGTAATCAGGCATTGGGACAGGTTGCCCAGGAAGGTGGTAAGAAGTTTAGGTGTCTGGATCTGGCATTTGTTGATGTGGTTTAAATGTTACAATGGCAGCGCTGGGTGAACTGGATGATCTAAAGGTCTCTCTCAATCTTGAGGATTCACAGAACCACAAAGTCAGTTCGGTTGGAAAAGCCCTCCAAGATCATTTGAGTCCAACCTGTGACCAAACACCAGACCCTCTGTTCTGACCAGAACATCTGTTCTCAACCAGACCCCGGCACCGAGTGCCATGTCCAGTCCATTAAACACCTCCAGGAGGCTGGTGCCACCGCCTCCCTGGGCAGCCCAACGTCTAATCACAATTTCTGTGAGGAAATTCCCTCTTAACGTTCAACCTGAACCCTCCCGGCGCATCTCAGGACCGTGTCCAACACGACTCCACGGGTCTAAAGTRCAGCATGATGAATTCTGAGGACAGGGCGGTGAACTCCGGCAGAGGAGGAGGCGCCCGCCCCGCCCTGTGAGGGACAGCCGGTGACCTCTGTGCGCCACACTCAACATGGCGGCCGSCACGCCCCCACCCCGCCACACTTTCCTCGCTTCCCATTGGTGGAGCAGGCTGTCAGTCTGCCAGTCTAGCCAATCATCGCGCGCAGAGCCCCCGCGGGGGCGGCGCCGCGGCCTGTGGCGGTGTGCGGGATGAGCCGGCTGTGCCCGCGCCTGGGCCCGCGCCCGCTGCTCTGGGCCCCGCGGGGCCCGCGCCGCCTCTCATCGGGCGCCTCTCCGGGCATGGAGGAGCTGCTGCGCAGCTCGGTGCCGCCGCTGCCGCCCTACGAGACCAGGGAGAAGGCGCCGCCGCCCGCCGAGCTGCGCGGCGCGGAGTTCGTGCGGTTCTACCGCGCGCTGCAGCCCGGGCCGCCCCGCGCAGAGCTCCTCACCCGCCTGGCCCGCGACTTCGGCGTGGAGCACGGGCGGGTGGCCGAGGCCGCCTCCAAGGTGCTGCAGGCCCGCGAGCAGCGCAGGGAGCTCGGGGCGCTGCTGCAGGCCGAGGACCGGCTCCGGTACTACCTGAACCCCCAATACCGCGGGCTRTTCCAGCACCTGGGCCGCCTGGAGGGCGGGCTGCGCTTCCTCGTGGAGCTCAGGGCCGACCTGATGGAGGGGCTGGCGAACAAGGCGGTGGAGGGGCCCCATGTCAAGGTGAGGGCTGGCCTGGGTGGTTCTAGAGGGAGTCTGGGGGGGATGTGATTTGGGGTTTCCTGCTCGTGGTGCTACTGCTGGAGCCACCTTGGGCTGCGAATTGTCCCATGAAGCCTTCCACTGTTGGGGTCTATGAGCCCCTCAGCTCAKGTAGGGCAGTGAGGTGCTGGAATGGGCCCAGAGAAAGGGAGGTGTCTGGAGGCCAAGGTCAGTGAAGAGTGGCTGAGAGAGCTGGGGAGCATCAGCCTGGAACAAAGGATGCTCAGGGGTCACCTGGATCTGCACAGCTCCCTGACAGGAATGGGCTGCCAGGGGAGATCGGGCTCTGCTCCCTGGGAACAGGGACAGCATGAGAGGAAACACCCTCAGGTTGTGCCAAGGGAGGTTCAGGTTAGACACCAGGAAGAATTCTTCACATAAAGGCTGATTAAACATCGGAACAGACCCAGAGAGGTGGTGCAGTGCCTGTCTTTGGAGGTATTTAAGAAACAGCTGCTCATGGCACTTAGTGCCATGGGCTGGTTCACAAGATGGTGATGGGTTAAAGACTGGACTTGATGATCCCAGATGTCTTCCAACAGAATTGATTCCATGATTTCCTAGAGAGACACAAGTAAACCCTTTCCTGCAGGCTGTGGCACCAGTGAGGGCTGACACTGTGCCTGTGCTGACACTCAGGAAGGAAGTGGCCCTTGCTGTGAAGCAATGGGCTTTCCAGAGTGGCAGTGGGAAGTGCTGGCACATAATACACTGTTTTAAAAGTTAATTCACAGTAAAGCTGGGCTTGATCATTTTTCATGATGCTGTTTCAACTTTTGTCCTCTCTCATGTTCTTTTCATGTGTTCTGTTCTTCCTTCCACCACAGGACATGCTGCTTGTCCATAACTGTCCTTATAAATAGTTGAATTTATGATGCACTCTTGCAACACACAGAGTGAAATTTCGTGAAAATCTCTTTCATGGGTGAAGTTCTTCCTCTTGCTGTTCAGAACCCTCTCACCTACAATACATTATTTTTTCTGGGCCAGCATTTTCCTCTTGAGATTTGTTACATTTTGCTTGCTTACTTATATTTCAGCCCTTGAAATACGACTCTGGTGAAAAATTCACAGCATTAGGATTTTGGGTAGCAAATCATCCAACGATTGCTTTTAAAATATTCTTCATCTTTCCAAAAGATTTAGAAAAAGTCAGTGAAAAGTTCAAGTTGCTGGCAAAAGATAATGAAAAAGAGAGCACTTTTGTGAAATTGATTTATATATAAACCTGCTTCCTTAATTAAGCAGTAGTTGGAGTGTATTTGTAATCTTGGATTTGTGTTGGTCTGCTGGAAAAAAGGAAGCACCGTCATTGTTAAAAGTTTTTCTATAAAAAAGTGTTTGGTATTTGCCTATCAAAAGTCCTGAGTAGCCATTTCATTAGTGTAGAGTTGATTTCAGTTCTAACATAAAGACAAATGTGCGACAAGAGTTTTATAACCTCTGTATATTTGTGTCTGAACTGACAAGGAAATGTGGAAATAAAATTAAATGGATCTTCTTGATGCTGGTGGARAATTACAGAATGTATTATGTGGCCTGCTGGGATATTGGGTTTKCCCAAACTGTCTAAAACATTTCTTAGACAATCCTTAGTTTTTACTTTGTAATTTGAAAGACCTATTAAAACAAGGATTGCCCACTGTTGTGTTGTAAATTTGAAATATTTTTCTATTTCCTYAGCAGCTGTCAGTGTAAAAGCAGCTTGGACTGCTCAGATATTAGGTGATGAAGGATTTCTATTTTGTGTTTTTTCAAGAGATTGCAGTAAAATCCATATTTAAGTGATTAAGTTGCTTGAAAGTGCTTGGACAGGCTTTACTCATTATCTAAATGAGCAGAARTGGGTGGGGGAAAGGAAATAATGATTTTATTTTGGGTTTTTTTTAATAAGACATCCAGTAATAAAAACCACAAGAGCCAGGAGAGTTTTCAGCATTGCCATTATCACTGCAGTAATTACTATTGGTGATAAAAAAGCAGAAATCAGTCCCCTTGAATTTCTGTCGCTATTAAAGTTTTGTTGGTGAGGATATTTTTCCAGTATCTCACTGGGGGCATTCTGTACATGTCCCCGGATTCTGAAGGTAAATTGTGGGGAAGAAAAACCCCAATAAACAAAAACCCTTCAAAACCCTACCCAAAATGAACCAAATCAACCCCTCCACCACAGACACCTTCAAATACTTGGCAATATCAGTGTAGTTCTGTAATCCCAAATGAGGTTAATCAGGTTGAAAACTTCAAACATTCCAAAAACATGGGAAAACTCAACTCTTGTGAGGGCTATTTTATTTAATAGTTTGAGAGGGAGAATGAAATAGTTGCCTCAGCAGAGAGGTAGTTTTTCTTCATCTCCAATTAATTTATTTTTTTTTATTTTCATAAGAGTTTTTCCCATTTGTTGCTCAATGAATAGGTACTTGATGTGAAGATTAAAAAGGCTGTAATTTGCTGTCTCGTAGCAAGAACACGGAACGAGAAAAAAATAATSACAATTTATTAGACTTGGCTAATAGAAATTGAAGTATTGCTGGTAATTTGAAATACTAATCTGAGTAYGTCTTGTTGCACAAATTTAAAACTGGGATGCTGAATAATGAAWGTGCTTGCTTTTCTTTTTAATGAAGTGTTGCAGATGTAATTTTTATGATTAAAAATGCCTCTGAAATGAAAATAAGAATTTACTTGCCACCAAATTTACAAAATAAGAGAACCTGCCACCGAATCTACAAAATAAGAGGCCCAAACTTGAGCCTGTCCTTAAGGGAGTGAAGCCTTTAGGAAATGTCCTGTGCACTGAGCTGTTTAACAGAAGTCAGAATCTTGTTTACATGGCTTCAGTTAAACACKGTTTTGGGTAATGAAAAGTTTTATGACTTTCTGCACTAAAGTTTTGTCAACACAGAATCATGGAACCTGAGGCTGGTTTGGGTTGGAAATGACCTAAAAGATGATCCCATCCAACCCCCTACCATGGTGAAGGACACCTTCCACTGTCCCAGGGTGCTAACAACACTCCAAGCCCTGTCCAGCCTGGCCTTGAGCACTGCCAGGGATCCAGGGGCAGCCACAGCTTCTCTGGGCACCCTGTGCCAGGGCCTCCTCACCCTCACGGGAAGAATTTCTCCCTAAGATCCACTCCAACCTGCCCTCCTTCAGTTCAAGGCCATTTCCCCACGTCCTGTCGCTCCCTGCCCAGTTGGGGTTGGATTCGATGATGGTGGCAGATCCCTTCCCCCTGGAGCCATTCAAATTCCTGCACAGTGAATTTCTTTCTGTTTTATCAAACATTATTACTTACAACTGAGATGATTTGATTTGTAATTCCCATAAACAATACTTCTCCCCAAATCCTTTCTGAATTCCACTTCCTTGTTCAGTTACAGCTGCAYTGCTTTTCTCCAGCTGCATCTTGGACCTGCAGTAGCTCTGTAGTGAAAACAGCCCTTGGTTCCATTGGYATCCCTGTGGCCATGTGGAACACKATTGCTGAACYTTCAGAGGAGCAAAACTCCAATGCTTTCCAYCCTTCCAGTTTCCATGCAGGATAAGTGGCTCTTTCCTGTGTCAATCTGTGCTGTCTGAGCCTCGTTACTGCCATGAGATGCGGATCAGAATGTGGAAATGCTGCCAGCAGCAGTTTTCCCTCTGCCTGCTGGACTGCAGCTGAAATGCTGTTCAAAAAGCACATGGATGACAAGAGAGCTGTAAGAATTTGTTCTTTGCCCCCACATCTGACAACTCCAGTTCATTTTTCTGGTTTACAGTGTGTCCCTACAAAAGAAAACAAATGAAACAATCCTAGAATACCCGGAGACTTTCACTGCACCAAGGGATRTCTGACCAAAGTGATTTATGGTTATTATCTAAAAACTTCAGAGCTGTGCAGAAACAAGGATTCACAAGGGAGGTATCTTAAAGGCAGAATAAACAAACCAATCAGAATATATTTGCTTAGGAAAAAAGGTATTGAAAAAGAAATCATGGAAGACAGAATTGTTCTTTACAGATGAATGGCTCTTTCTTCTGGTTTGAAAACTTCATTTTTTCTAGTATGTTGAATTAAGGAATAATCCCATTCTTTTATTCAATCTTAGAATACTTTGTAGCAGTTACTTTGGCCAGCAGAAACCTTCTTTGATGTGTATCTTTTGACAAGTATCTCTGCAACTTTCATCTTTATTAGGGTATAATGGGAAATATCTTTGCTTTTTATGAAAATCCTGAGACTACATCTGAACTTTGGAAAAAGATTTGAAGTGGTGTTTTCTGATCAGATTTTATTATTTTTCCTGCTGTTTTTCTTTAATGTAGCAAGCTAAAGTACATTGGGTCATAATTTTTGTCTCTTTTATGTGCAGCAGTAGCTATTTAATAAAGGTCTGAATAGAAGATGCAGAGTTTTTGTTTTGAAGAAAATGGTTATTTAGTTAGTTTCAGGTAAGCCCATGTTTTTGATCAGGCTGTTTGTGAGTTGCTGCTGGTATCACACTGTGTYCTGTGTACAAGGCAAATGGAAGAAAGAAAAACAAGCTCTGGAATCTCTTTTAGGGATATTCCTGCTGTGCCGAGTCCAAGAATACTTGTTAAATTCAAATAAATTTAGACAGGAAATCTTTAAGAATACAGGCAGCAGGAAACTGGTAGGGAATATAAAAATCACTATTTCAATGAATGTTTTTGAAAGGATTTGACATTATAGTTGGGTTTCATCTCTCATACTGTTCCAAAGCTGGTTTGATTTTTCACTTCTATTGTCTTATGCTGCTAGGTTTTATTTTTCTTGCTCAAAAAATTTCATATTTTTAGAGTAGAAAAATTTTGGAAAGCCTCTGGTTCTGTCTGCACCCTGTTGAAAGATGTTTCCATRGTATTTAAATCTGAGCAACTGAGCAACTACAGCCTTGTGGTCAAGACTGCTCAAAACCTTCTACCCCATGGCTGCTTTTCCTTGTCTCTGCCTGCACTATAGATAGATCCTTCAGGGATTTTCCTTGGTTCAGTCTTGTGGGAAGAAAACTGAGCTGGTGATCTTCTCAAACAGATGCATAAGTTTCTTTTAAGCTCCCAGTGTTGTAGTTTGAACCAATCAAGGTTATCTTTACTCACATTCCTATGTTGTACCTTGCTTATTTAGCAGATAATTCCATCCTTGTTCTGCTTGCAGGAGATGAACGGAATTCTCAAGAATATGCTCTCGGAGTGGTTCTCCACAGGATTCCTCAACTTGGAACGGGTCACTTGGCAATCCCCTTGTGAAGTACTCCAGAAAATTAGTGAGTAAGTGCTGAAGGCTGGACAGAGTCCTTGATGTAGTCATGAAATGCYTGGGACTGCAGAAATCCACTGTTTTCAACACTCTGCCTCTCTGAACCATAGGCAAAGTATAATYATGGAATATTTACATTAACAGGCTGTAGAGCTCAATTTTAAAAACTGACTGAAGTAAGCAGTAAAGGGGATAATTTGTCCTATAATTTGATTGTGTAGCTCACACTGCACTGGTAGACTGCTGCCTTTTTTTCAAGATTTCTCATTTACTCTTCCCACATTCCCAAAGGTGCTCCAAAGTTTTGGCTGGGACTGGTGAGGTGCTCAGAATCACTTGTAAACTACGTATGAAGAGAGCACTTTGGTTTTTATACAATGTGCTCTACAACATTGATTTGTAAATCTACAACGTTGATTTGTGAATCTGCGACATTGATTTCTGAATTTCTGTCAAATATTCAAACTTGTGAAGTTGAAAATGACTGAAATTGAATTATGTTGTGGGCCACCTTATTGTATAAAAATCCTGAAGAAAAATGAATCTCTAAAGAGTTCTGAAAGTACGTGACTTAAGTATTGATGAGGCAAAGAGATCTTGACAGGCTGAATGTTCAAAATAAAAACAATTAGTGATAATTAATCTTCATGGTAATTTGGCAAACACAGTTAAGTGGGTGTGCAATATTCCTTTACAATCCACTTCATCACAGCTTGCTGACAATTTTACATTACTCACTTACAGCCTGATTCTGTTTTTTTGATTGGAAAGTTTTGTCACTGACACCAGTGGGAAAAGTGCTGAGCTTACAGGCTTGGCAGCTGACATCTATTTTCAAATGAAAAAAAGTAATATATAATAAAATAATGATAATGGAAATAATAGGAATAATAGGAATAATAATAATAATAATAATAATAATAATAACAACAACATCAACAACAATAATAATAATAGTACTTTATTTTTTATTTTCTCCTTGAGTTCTGAAGCCGTGCACCCTGTCAGGAACTGGGTGGATATGAAGCGTCGAGTTGGGTCCTACAGAAGATGTTATTTCTTTTCTCACTGTGCAATCCCAGGAGAGCCATTGATAGTCCTGCACGTGGCATTAACCAGTGATATCTCCAGCAACATCCAGGTACAGCCACTGATGCATTTAATAAACAGCAAAGTTCTCAAATTGCAGTGTGCTTATTTAAAAATCTGCAATTCCGTTTAATTTGGCAATATTTGGCTTTGTTTCGTTTTTTAAGAGATGAGAGAATTGACATGTAAAAATTACAGAGATACTCTGTGTGTTTTATATATTACATAAATTGAATTTTTGGGGTTTGCTCAAAAGCCAGAAGAGCAAGAAAAGATAAATAYATAGAGAAAAYGAGATTAAAATTTCRAARTGGTTGCAATTACTTTTGAAAATTYTAAACCCTSTTACAGATATTTCCTGTACTTACTAATGTCWAAGCAGCTCTTTCTAGTCTTTCATTAGATTTTTATTGTTTCTATAGAGAAATAAAAYAGTGGGAAAAAGTGGTAATACATTTAGAAGTTAAAAAGAAAGACCTCCTCCACATAATGATGATAATAACTAATATTAACATTTTTTAATTTTAATTTTCCCAGACCATAGTGAAAGAAGTGCCCCCTTTAGAGACAGAAGATACAGAAAAAATCACAACAGCAATCTTCTACTCCATCAGCTTGACTCAGCAGGGCCTGCAAGGGGTGGAACTCGGGACTCACCTCATCAAAAGAGTTGTCAAAGAGCTGCAGGTGGGTGTGCCAGGGGCCCTCAAGGGCTGTTACCCAAAGTGGTTTAATTCCCATATTGTGTCACCGCTCAGGGCAGGAGCTCTGGGCCTTCCCCTACACCTGRAGCTCCTCCCCAGAGCAGCCTTTGGAGATGTGTAGAGTTGGAAGAACATTTCCTGCTCTTGGCTGATGTCTGCCAGATGCAGCTTGTGTTCCACAGTTGACACATTCTGTGTGAATTCCTGGTGTTTCCACCCTAATCATGTGTGGGTTGCCTGAAGTCAAACGAGARCATTTCTGTTGAAGGTGGCTTTGACACAGCAGTTCTGCAGTGTGGGCTCTGATATGATTCACTCATATTCACTCACTCATTGCCTCTCAGTTGGGTGGGAAGAGCCTGATCAACATATTCACTCTTCAAAGGACCTGACAGTGCCTTTTCCAAAATCTTAACAGCTGCTCCAGGAGCAGAAATACTTCCTGTTCATTAATTAGTTCATTTTTTTGTTTGTTATATTGAATTGCCACTGGTTATTTATGCAGTTTGCATGCAAGCCCTAAATACATTTATTTAAAAAATAATAAGGAGAGAGATTTTTTTGCCCAGGCATGTCTTGCAATATAGTAAAAAAATATCTTTAAAGTCACAAGAATCAGTTACTTTATGCCAGTCAGTTCTGTGAATTTAGATAATATCATTGCATGCTAAGGGATTATTGTTAATAGCTTTAGTACTTGTAGAACATTCTTCCAAGCAAGTGGAGAAAGGAATGAAAATTCATTTACAGAGTGCTGTGAAAAAGGCAGTCACATTCCTGCACTGTACACATTATTTTGTTTAATAGTCATTGCTACTTAAATTGCTAACAAAGCTACCACTTAAAAGTGATGATCATTACTTGTGTTTRTATTCATTGTTTCACATCTGGATTAGTAATGATGTCTGGAAAACTGTCTGTGATTTAGAACTTCAGTGCTATTTACAAAAAGAACTTAAAATTGGATGCTTCAAACTTCTGCTGCAAAGTGATAGATTATTTAATTGCTGAATCATCACTGTCTACCCTGAAGTGTTTATTTTATTTTTAATGGATATTTTGGCTGAATTTTGTTGCTTCTTGCTTTTGGAATGGGTTTTAGATTAATTGTTGAAAGTCCTGTAGTCCAGGTATAATTAGGCCGTGCCATCTGTCTGATCTTGACTGAGGGAAAATTGGAATAAATTCATGCAGTTATCTGCTTTCACATCTGAAAAATAATTTCTGGATAATTGAGTTGCTCTCATAAAATAACCCTATTGACATAGTATCTGAACATCACTAATTGCAAAGTTGTGAGTGAGTTATAAAGGCAAACAGACACATCATACTTAGATAACCTTATGCAAGTTTTTAAATCTGGTGTGTCCAACAGAAGGGTATGTTTTGTATTAATATTTATGACAAAGTTTCTACATTTCAGTTGTAAAATGCAGCCCCTCTTCAGTGTTTAGCATAGGAAACACTTGGGTTGTAATGCCTTTGAACACATTCTAATCATCAAATTAATGCCTCAATCTTAAACAGCTTGTTTAATATTGAAAACTGAGTGCAATGCCAAAGATGGAGATCCTCCTCCGTATTTAAATTTCCTACACTGCTTAAAGGTGGTGTGAAAAACGTGCTGGTAATAAATTGTTATGTGGCAGGTTGGACATGGACTGAGGTGACCATGAAGTGGCAGCCAGACTTGAGCTGCCTGTTTATGTATAGGCTGTATCTATAGATAAAGGTACAACAACCTCCAGCCATTGCCTCTACACCATTCCTTCTTGGAATGGAACCACTGCAGGGCTAAAGAAGATAGAAAGGATAATCYAGGAATATTTATCCATTGTAGGTGTAGTTCTCCAATGGTTTTCCTCTCACTCTTTGATGTTGTTAATATTTTTCTTGTTCTTCCCACTCCTTCACGCTTTCTCCACTGTCATTCTGAAATACTGTTCTTGAATTTGTTGTCTTGAATTGTGCAAGAACCATCTCCCGTTGCATGTTTTACATCTGTGAAGAGAAGCTAAATCATGGTCCTGTTGTTCCCAGAATTATTTGATGAATTTCTGCAAGGTCTCCTCATTCAGCTTCAGTTGCCAATGTTGCACCTCCCATCTCAGTGCACTTCACTCCTCAGAGGAGAGAAACCCTTTGTATTTCAGCTTCAGAATACTTCCACTGGGGAATTTGTACAAAGTCAAGATTGTTCAGGGTAAAGACAAGGTATACAGTGAGTAAATACTCTTGGCAGCCTGTTTTGCCTGGCTCCCAAAATTCTGGMAGTCCTTCTTTATGGATTAATTGCACACATGTGCTCGCTTCCTGTCTGGTCAGTTGTGAGCAAAGGACTTTCCCAAGGTTGTCTGTGCTCAGGGTGGACATAACTCTTTGGAGCAGCGTTACAGTCACTTCAGGAGGGACAAATGGTGTGGCAGGAGTGCTGAGTGGACTTGGTGACAGCAGCTGAAACAATACAGACTCAGCAAAAAAGGCCTTGGGTCAAAAATTACATCTCATTAAGCCAGTGTCCAGCAGCCTTTGTGAAAATAGATGGGTGAGGTCTCTGATAGGAAGAGGATTTTTTATATCACCTTTGCATGGCTTTGCAATAAACAAATCTTTTTTATAAGTGCTGCTAAATCACATTACGATCTGGCATTTGCCTCAGATCTTGTTCTGTAAAATTGGGTAAATCAGAATTTGATCAGAACTCAACCTAGGTGGTATCACATTATAAAAGCAGCCTGGGAGAAATTGTACTGCTCTCAGGAGTTTCTTGACAAAAGTTTGCTGCACAGATAATATAGAAGGGTTTTGGTACAAGCTTCTGTTGTTGTCTGAGCATATCCTGTTGGGATTATTCTGGGATGAATTCATTAGGCCACTGATACCACTCTGATCCCAGTTCTCCCTGTACAAATCTGGGAGTAGGCTGTGTAGGCATGCTGTGCAGTGTCTTGTTTATATTAATGTATATAAAGCAGGGAGCAGGCAACAAAAAAAAAGATCTCTTGTATTTCTTAAATTCAGCYTTGTATTGTTCCCAGAAATGAATTGGATTTTGAAACTATTTCAGACAACTACAGGAAAACAAACCAACCCCAAATTGAGTGCAGGCACATCATTTCAAGCAAGCTGATAGGTGCTGGTGACCGAGGAGGTGGATGGATTTCTCATTAGGCACACATTTAATTCASAGTGTGTTTACAACCACTCGAAGCAGTCTGTAGCTCTGCAGAAGGTACATCATGGCAATTCAGTCAGCAGATGACAGACACAGATAACTGTGCTGAAGCCTTTGAGAAAACTGCTCAGGAGTTTATAGCCTGTGGCRTTTGAGGGAGCAAACTGATAGCTGCTGTGTGACTCAATAGAATGCTCAACAATTGGTGACAGATTTTAGTTTTCTGCTTGGTCTGTGGATAATTGCTACCTTAATTTGATCTAGGTGACCTGGGGAGATCATAATTTCCAAAACAGGCTTTGATTTCATTGATGAAAAATGTGACCTTGGACTGCAGCTTTCAGAGTGCAAGGCAGTTTCAGATGAGATATGGATAATAGGAGAAATCTGTGCCCTTCTCTGAGGGAAGAAAAAAAAAAATCCGACAACAAAAAACAGCAATCAAACACAGAAATCTACCCCAAATCAAAATTAGCAGCTGTTTCTTAATGGTTGTGAATGGTTTCTGACAGGCAAGTAAACATTAATGGRTCTCCACCAATAGCCTTAGACCAGCACATCAATTTAGCAAAACATAAATGTGCTCACTCCAGTGCATTTATTTATTTTTCCACGAGAAATGGCTGCCTCAGATAAGCTTCCAAATAAAGCTTTTATCAGATGTGTAGTAGTTTGTACTGTAGCTTCAAAATGGAGAYACTTTCCAATGTCTTATCTGTCCTAAAGAGAAAAAATACACATAATTTCCCATCTTGTGTTTTCAATGGAGTAAGAGCTCCTAACCTCCTGTGAAATATTTGGGGCTGTCTTGGTGAGCAGGTCACTCCTGAAAGTGGTGATAAACAAGGAGCAGCCAACAGCCCCAGGAATCAGTGTCAGTTATTTAATTAAGGACTTTGCAGTGGTTATTATTACCACACGGATAGGGGAAGAAAGAATTCATTCTCACTTTTGTCATCGTGGATGGTGCACAGGTGCCCTCGGGCTCTGCAAGCTGGGAGATGAGATTGGAATTGTTACCCTATGGAAGCAAYAGACACAGCTCAGCTGCTGTGTGCAAACCTTGTTAGCTCTGTTCAGGAGCAAAATGGTATTTTCAAACACTGCTTTCTTGGCAGAGAGGGTGCAGAAGAGTTCCAGACTTGAGTTAGTGCTAAACAGCCTTTTCCCTTGATCCAATCAGTTTTTCCTTTTACCTGAAAGAASAGTTTTTTCTATAATTTGAGCACTACCTTCTTTCTTCCCCTCTCAGGTTTTAACCCTAAATAGCTGTGAAGAAATCATGAAAGAGACCTAAGCACTGTGTTTTCAAAGGCACTGTCTTTTATGGGAATAGTAATACAGTTAGGGGAAAAAAAAGRAAAACCTTCAAGGAGAGTGTAATCCTATCTTTGGGTCAAAAAGAAACACATTCGGTGTTCCTTGAATCCGTGCCTAGAGGAAGTAGCCTCTAAAAACTTCTTTTTTCCTTTTCTCTTTTTATCCCCACTGCACAACAGGAACAKCTTTAGTCCCTCCAGCAGCACTTGGAGGATTTCTCATGATAGGTTATTAATTTGAAAACTTTTCCCCATTTATTCCTCTCTTGTGCTCCGTTTGGGACTTAAAGAGGAACTTTCAAGCCCAGCAGAAATGAAGACCCCCCCCAGAAATAAAGAATGCACCCCCATTTGGAGTTGCAGGCTCTTGGAGGGGGGTGGCTGCTGCTGGAGGATGTGACATGGGAAGGGCACTTCTCTTAGAGATGATGGGTTTGTGTTTCTGTGCCTCGAGCCCAGGCAGTTGCTGAGTTCTCATCCATCATTATTGTGTGGACAGGCAGGAGGCTCCTGGGTCAGTGAATCTTCAGGAGGGAGCTGTGGCCTCCCTTGTGGGCAGAGATTCATCCACCACAGCAAGAGCTGAGTGCACAAGGTCACATTTTGTTACAACAAAGTGTCTCCCAGCTCAGCTGTCCCCAGGCACAGCAGAGCCACCACTGCTCATCTCTGCACTGGTGGAGGGGTGAAGGTGGAAGTGATGCTGTCCATTGCTGACTAGAAAAACTGAAAGCCAGCAGCGTTTTCCCCAGGAACAAATACCTTGAAATATTTTTCTAATGGGCTTRAAAAATTCACTTCTGTGCCATCTTTCTCCCTCCTCCTCCAGCATCCCCTGGCCTCTGCATCCTCCTGGAGCAGACTGCAGATGGCAGCTGTGTGGAGCTCAGCAGCAGSGAGGAGCTGCAGCTCACACAACCTGGCAGCACCATCTGAGCCCTGATGGCTTTTTAATGGTTACCTCGGTAATCCTCAAGGTAGAAAAAGTGCCATTTGTAGTCATTTAAAGACAATTTTCTGCTGACATTAAGATGCTTCTGTAACGTTGATGAATGTCTTGGTTCTTACACTTTTTCCTTTTTGAACAGTAATTAAACCAGCACTGGGGTGGTTTCAGCTCAGCTCTGTCTGCCCCCCACTCCTCCAGCAGGGTTGGCTGATCTATTTTTTGTTAACTCCAAGTGAGTTTATTCTTCACACTGCTGTGCCCCAAAACTAACACACAGTTTTCCTTCTGTATGTTTTACATGATTTCATAGTTAGCAAGGTTTAATCAGAAATTAGTAATAGAGGAGAAATTTTGACATGTGTTACACTTGCAGTAAAAAAAACATTCACWCAGTCTGTATTTCCTGATGGTTTAGGGAATATAGTGAAAGGTAGCTGGCCTGTGTAAAGAAGTTCATTCAAAACTTCAGGAAATACTTTCCATAAAAATSTACAAGTAGTGCCTCTTGATTTTACAATAGACTGAAATAATAAACTGTCTTTGATTTAAAGAAGAAAGATAGTTACACATGAAAACCAGTATTTAAATGGCTATCAAAACTTKCATGCCTATTTTTAAAAATTCTTCAGAATCACTTCTTTATGGCCTGTGATTGTATTTGTTTATTTCTGCTTATCAAAGGATAAAACCAGAAACAATGATGGCACGTACTGCCTAAGTACGTTTATAGAGACTGTGTGTGAGGAATGTCATTCAGTCAGTGTTAACATTTTCTGGCTGCTCCCAGTGCTTTCTCATCACGAACCTGTTACTGCCAGGGGGATTTTGTACCCTTTTTTTGTGTCCATGTATATCAATTCCTTTTCAGAATCCCTGGTCTTCACTTGCCATAAAGCAAAGGCCATCAATTGCCCTTTACTCAGAGTTCCCTGTGTCAATCATAACCAAACTCATGAGTTTTTTTTCCTCCTTTTGTCTGCAGAAAGAACTTCCTCAGATAAAAGTTTTTTCTACGCTTTCACCTATCCCAGGATTCACAAAATGGCTCATTGGTCTCCTCTCCTCCCAGACAAAAGAACAGGGAAGGAACCAACTTTTTACAGAATCCGAATGGCAGGAAATCTCCCAGATCACAGGAGACTCCAGCACCGAAAGGCTAAAGGAACTCTTGAACAACAGCGAGTGGGTGAGATCAGAAAAGCTCATTCAGGTGCTGCATTCCCCCCTGATGAGACTGTGTGCCTGGTACCTGTATGGGGAGAAGCACCGAGGCTACGCCCTCAACCCRGTGGCCAATTTCCACCTGCAGAACGGCTCGGTGCTCTGGAGGATAAACTGGATGGGGGACACGAGCCCCCGRGGCATCGGGGCCTCCTGTGGCATGATGGTCAACTACAGGTATTTCCTGGAGGAGACAGCCTCCAACAGTGCTCTCTACCTGGCCTCCAARCAGGTCAGAGCCTCCGAGCAGGTGCTGGCCTTGGTGGCCCAGTTCCAGCAGAACAGCAAGCTGTAATTGAGTATCATGAACACTGAGAATAAATGCTCCTCGCCTCTCAAGAGCTGTCATAATCTGCAGTGTCTTTATCTAAATCAGAATGTATCYTGTAGGGCAAATGTGCTCAGTTCCCTGGGTTAACAGGGTCTTGCTTACATGACTGTGTATTCAAAACATCACAGAGTCACTTCTGGTGTGTGCAGGGAGTTGGAGGTGTTGGTAAAGGGTGAGTAAAATCCTCTGAATCAATTGCAACCAGTGGTACCTTGAAGGGAAAATACCTGAGCCAACATTATCCCTCTGATAATTAACCTGTATAAGCTGTCTTTAATTGAAAGGAGCTGCACTTTTCTGTTAYAATGCTGCTAGAGATTGTTCAGAGCCAAAGTACTTGGAATAAAGGTAAATTTTGGTCAAATATATTAGCAAAACAAGCTATAGTTCTGTTTCTACAATATCTGTCTTTTGCACTCTGAGAAAAATTTCATCTAAAACTTGGTATTTTCCTTTTTCAAACACACTAAAACTCACTGAATCCTTGCTTTGCTGGAGYGTGGAAAAGCCTTGCTTTAATGTTGAAAAATCAGGATCTTGGTGCAGCAGGTATGTTATATTATATTTGCATTTTTTGGCTGCTAAAATAYAATGAGCAATAAGGAAGTGTTCAAATAGGAGGAGAACACGCCAGACTGTTACTYGGGAATCAGCTGAGAAGTCTCTAAATATGTATATTATATTTTGGCTCTGGCAATGTTTTAAGTTGATCAAGAGCTTTTTTAATAAAGTGGTAGGTGTGATTTATAAACCAATAAAACCAACTTTCTCAATAAATCATGGCTTGTGATTTCAGCATTTCCCCTCCTTCACTTAGTGGCCCTCTTTGATAACAATTTCACCATACCAGAAGGCCCATCTTGACAGAATTTCATGCTGCTTTGTAATTTCTGATTTATAAAAGTGATCAGGGGATGGCTTAATTCTCTTGTTGGGCTTTCTAATCTTTCTGAACTGCCTTAGAATTCAGGTTTCAAGGTGAAATTTAGCTGTATAAACACCTACAAGCTGGGAGGAATAGAGCAAGAGAACCCTTCCTCTTTATTATGTTAAGCTCCTCCAGTTTGAGGAAACCAAGTCACTTACTTCGAGTGAAAGAGTTCTGAGAATGCAGTGGTTTTGAAAGATGGTTTTATTTTGAAGCAGGAAGAGCTGTGAGGGCAATTAAATGTGCATCCTCCTGGCCATAGTTCAAAAAGAGCTCACGCTTCTGCTGTATTGCAGATGGAAATACAACATAATCCCATATTCTTAACAGCTGGACTCGAAGGATAATGAGTTTTTTCCACTTGGAGCCCCAGACAATTGTATGAGAATTRGTTCAGTGACATGAAGTGATAGCAGCTTATGAGGAAGGAAAAGCAAAGCTGCTAATGCTTCGTTAACACTTCAGTTATTTCCCCAGCCCTGTGGCTGCACARATCTCACCCACAAACCCAGCTCTGCCCTCAGCTCCAGGGAAGCAGCCTTACCTGTTTTATTCCTGCCAATCCTCAGATGAGGAAGATGGATGCTGGCATTTGGGATGGCAAAGCAGCCACAGGAATTCCACATTCACACTGTGGTTCCAGGATGGTTTGTCAGCTGCWGACCCGTGTGGGTTGGCAGGTCACGGTCAGGTGTGCCCCTGTTGTAGGTGCCACATTTCTCTGGATGTTGATTTAACCCTTCAATCCCGTTAACAAGGATTCAGAGTCACCCCTGCACTAGCAGCCAGTTTAATTTGCTGATTTTCCCAGCAGTTTTTCTGAGKGCCTTGCGATGTGGGGCCGAGAATAAGATTACAACAAAGCTGTAGCAGCCTCTTCCCGGAGCTATTCTGGACGGCTCCATTTGTTACAGGACATCTGCTCTCCATCAGAGCTGCAGCACCTGCAGAGTTGTTTCCTTTTCAGCAGTTGTGGTTATTGGTTGAGTTGTGCTTTCTGAGGTCACATCATCTGTTCTATTGATAAGTTAGCAATGTGAGGCCAGGAGCTCCTGCAGYGAGTTCTGTGTCAGAATCACAGTGAGAATGGGAGCGCAAAAGGATCATTTGAWGATGGAGGTGGGACAGGCTGCTCATAAAAACCATCAGCTCTTAMGTGCTGTTAGTTTTCTTTCACTGGCCATTGATTTTGTCTTTCTGTTGAATTTTCGAACTTGCTACTCAAAGGAGATTTTAGCATGAAATACTGAAGACAAAGAAAATATTCACCATCTGTGCTACTTCTGAGGACAATAAGTGCCCCTGGAGAGGATTGTACTCAGTCAAAGGGAGTCTTCACAACACAGAAAGAACAGAACAAGTCCAGCTCCTTTCTCTCAGTGAGTACCACTGCAGTGCCATTTCTGAGGAGCACAGGATGTGAAAGAACACCCTCTGTCACTGTGTGTGGAGAGGAAAAAGGGGAGGCTGCTTTCAGTGGCTCTCAGCAAGCAGTGGGAGCTGCTGGGCTGGAAGGGGCTGCACAGAAAAGCGTCTCCATTTCACAGCTGCATCCTGCCTTTGAAAGCAAATCAATAGAAATTATGTTACTTTGTCACTTAGGCTTGTTTATGATCAACTTAGGCTGTTGTTCTTGTCACAGGAGCGGGGCCCCCTTTGTGMCTTGTGTGGAGCTGAGTGGGATCTGAGCTCTGAGATGTGCCCTGCGTGAGCAACGAGAGCCAAAACAGGGCCTGGCTGGGGGATRCTCTGTTTYCAGTCTGTTTTCAGTMTGTTTTCAGGTATTGAGCCATCACAAAATCCTGCTAAAAGAAAGGAGTCACTGCTTCTTGAGGCACAGAAACTGTCCWTGTGTATCTCTGGAGTTTATTTTAGTCATTGACTGTCATGAGCTACAAAACGTGCCTGCTCCTGTGGGAATTCCTCCTTGGGGAAAGGGGTACAAGGGTTTGTTAAAGCAGACWGAGTAAGGTRARRGCAGTGTGATTCTTCAGCCTCTTGRTAWGAAAACTSCCCTGGGAAGGAGGGATCAGGGTTATGGTCAGTTAAYACATTTTGAACAGTTTTCTTTAGAAAATTAGGCCTGAGCCATCACAGTTGTTGTCTGGTCTTTTTACTGCTTCTAAAAACTTCTGAATTTTTCACAAAATTGGAATCCAAACCTTTCTCAAGCGTGGGAGTTTAACCACTGGGATGTTGTGTAAATGTTCATCAGCGTTGAGTCCTTCATAAAAAGACTGATAAAGGCATGTCCTGACCCTGTTCAGGTGTTTTCCTCCTCTTACCCACCTTACTGCCTGGTCATTGGGGTTTTCCACATGCAGMTGCCATAAATCATCCATCAAGGCACCAACCACAGCTTATAGGGAAAGCTGAATTGCCTTGGTACATCCCTTCCAAGCTGAAATCTTAGAGTTAGGGAATTAATATAAGTGGGTTATATTCGAGGTACTTTGTAGTCAGTGTTTTGGGTTTTATTGTGGATATCCAGGACTATTCAGAAAAAAAAAAAAAAAAAAACCCAACACTTGTTGCCACATTGTCTATTACTGTGTCTAATAAATGAGTATCTCATTCCTCTTGAGATAAATCTGTAGCAGGACTGGGGAATGCTGAGACCCAGCAAGATGTGACCTGACACGCTGGGTATGACAGAAAGTTGTATGGCATTTTTATATTATGTATAATATTAATCAATATCTTCCTCTTTATCATCTCTTAATTGTGTGCAGAATTAACAGTGATAATCTTTGAAAAGCAGTGCCTGTGTAGCTGAACGAGATAAATTAAGGCACTATAGGGTSAGATTGTGAGGAAATAAAAGATATTCTGCTTCTGTTTTAAAGAAATGGCAATCAAAAAAGTAATTTTTACCAAATTGTTTAAACAAAGAGGCCTTTTTTTAATCAAAGAATGAAAAGTACAGAGGAAAATTAAAGTAGTTCATTTACTGAAACAGATTTGCAAAATTCTCTGCTAAATGTGACTTTTAAACCAGACAACTCATTAACCCAACTACTGCGGATAAGATTGGAATTGTTTACTGAATCTTAACCAGAGACAGAATTTGGGAGTGTTGGTGGAGAAAGGGAAAGATTGAGAATTAAAATGACACATTGTTTCTGCTTAATTACAAAAGAAAAGGAAATGATGCAAGAATTTTAAATAAGGAAAAAATCATTACATTATTACAGTCTGTGTCTGAGAGTACATTTGGATAGACTTCATGTTCCAGAATGGTATTTAAAATGCAATTTAAATATTTAAAGTGTGTTTGCTTAAATTTTTAAAATAAATGTTGTTGTGGGGGGTTTTTTTTCAGAGAATATTCTCCAGACAAGATGGCCTTGAAATTTCATATTTTCACTGCAAGTAAAGTTCTCCTAACGAGTTATGTTAGAGTTATGAGGATGCCTTTAGGCAAAGGATAAAGTTTTAATTGGATTTTTGAATAATCATCTTTTGAGTCCTACCCAAACTTCAGATTGTGTTTGAAATACATTTTGCACCGTAGCTCTTTGATGTCATTCCCCAAATGTGCAGCTCTCTGCTGTATTTATGGCACGGCCTCCCTGCAACGGGAGAGTGGTGGAGTTTGTTGGGAGGGACGTTAAAAATCACCTATTCCACCCCTTCATGGGCAGGGATGTCTTCCACTATTCCAGGGTGCTCCAAACTCGATCCAGCCTGGCCTTGGACACTTCCAGGGATCCAGGGCACCCACAGCTCCTCTGGGCAATAAACAGTCCCCCTTTTTCTGTTTATTCCATATTTGATGCACCCCAGGATGGGATTTGCTCTCCTGGCTCTCAGGACCCACCTGCCTCACTGATCCTCCTGTAGATCTGCACCCCCAGATCCCTTCCTCTCTTCTCCCCCTCTTTATACCCCAATAAAATTCATCAGCAGATGATTTYCAGCTCCAGTTGCTGATCTGACATCACCCCTTGTATTTTCTCGGTGACCAGCAGCAGTGCTGGTGTCACAGGAGGCAGTTTGCTCCCATCCTGATGAATTCCCAGAGCTGCACCTTGCTCTGGGTGTCAGCTGCAGAGGGAATTCTTGCTCACACCCTGCAAGCCCAGCAATGGAGCGTGCTGGGGACAGAGAAATGTTTCAAACAATTCAGCTGTCTCCATTTCCCCTGACCCTGTGCAAGCAAAGACTTCCAGAGGGTTAAAATCAGGCCAGAATTGTCCATCTTTCACAGTTATCTCTGGTGATCTCCCAGTTTCATCAGCAGAGCACTGAGGGAAGAAGGTGCTAAAGCATTTTTGTGAACAGCAGTAACCCCCAGCTGAGCACAGTGATACCTGCTCCTCCTCACTTTGTCCCCACAGAAATATCCAGGGTTTTTCTCCCACCTGGAAATTGTTACTCACCAAGTTATAGTGGTGGCAGAGGTGCAYAGGAACTTTCAGGCTGAATGAACTAATTTTTCAAATAATATCAGGCTAGCCTGATTAGGGATAACTGTGCTTTTCTCCTACCTTTTCCCAAGCAGGCAGTGGAGGAATGCTTGGCARACCCTTGGTGGAAAAATGCAGGTTTTATTTGATGATAAAAATAATCAAATAAATTGTTTTGCAAGGCAGAACAGCATAGGCGCGTTTCTCCATTTCTTAATATGAATCTGATTTCGATAGATCAGAGACACCACAAACCCAATAAAATGTGGTTTTTGTGGTGTTTTAACCTCCAGTTCCCCAGCTGGATCAGGAGCCCGAGCAGTGCTGGSTGAGAGAGAGCCCCAACAGAATGAACCATGTAGGAGCGAAAGCTTTTAAAACAGAACAAGGCTGTTCTCACTGCTACATGGATTTATCATTTCTTTTCCAGAAGGAAATAATTCTGAGGATTTGAGTCTATTCAGCCTGACACAAGTGGCTGAGAAAGGGAGTATTGAAAGAGCAGGTTTTTGATATAAAATATATTGAAGGAAGATATGTGAGCACTTTTTCCCTGAAGTGCTCACTCCTACGCTTAGGCCATTGTTAATGTGATGAAATTTATTAATT